CCCCCGTTACATTCCAATATGCAGACATCTGATATGCTGCGTATCACAGTTAACGACGGAACTTCAATTTTTTTAATTTAAAAAAAAAAGAGCCACATCAGAAGACCTTAACTTCTGTCGTCAGATCTTCTGCGCAAACGCAGAAGACCATAGACGGACACGTATTGAGGGATAAAGGATCCCTAACGTGAAAGCACTGAGGAATCTAGAGAAGCAGGAAGACTCTGAAGCGAAGGGAGCAAGAATTGGCTCGAAACTAAAGGATCAAAAGAAGCCTGAATTTCCGTTTGAAAGGTATTGGACTTGGCCCAAGGCCACGAGAGATACCCACTCTGCCGGCGAGAACGTCCCAAAATTCCCAATAGGAGTCCTTCTTAAAGTCTCGAATGAGGATTCTCCGTTCCAGAAACCTATCGACCTACCAACCCTTATGCCGCTTGAGAGGATGCGCCGTACCTTAAGGGCCTGGCGAAACACAAGGCACGTCCTTTCAGTTCAGAAGGAAGATAGCGGGCATCAAACGGAAGAATAAAGACATTTCGAGGAATCCCTTGGAAGCGTCATTCCATTCCATCCTTATACAGGCGAGTCCCGGGGCGATGACGGGACCGCAAAACAATGTCAGGACCCCAAGGAGGTAGCATTCTTATAGATCTCGGGGAGATGTCAAAGGTACGCGTTTCAATAAATATTTCCATTAGGAAGCCCGGCACACCCCTCGGCGGGCCGTAATCGTCGAAGTATCAGGAGGAACCGGACGAGATAAGGGGTAGCACGCGATCAGAACAAGGGGATAGCAGCGGATCACCTCAGCCTATCTGTCCCGTCCCTAAAAGTCTACCCGTTAAGTCATCCCCTCGAAATCCTCAAACAGGGAACCCAAAGTGTCGCCGTCGGCAAAACTCATCCCCTGGCATCATCCCCTCCGACGGTGGCACACTTTTCAGGGGTACCTTCGTGACTCGAAAGCCAGTTTAATCTTGGCGAACGAACTATGTCAACAATGGAATCGGATTAGTGAGCTGCCGTGCCGTATCGCGGTGGTATCGACTCGTGCTAGTACTACCGGCTCGACCAGGCCCCCGAAGGGGTGGCAACGGGGGTGGTTCCGCCGGTGGAGAATAAAGGGGTTGGCTTTTTCAGGCCGCAGTAGCAGTCGACTCAACAGGTCACGCTGGCTTACTCATTCATTTCCAGTACGGGAGATTTAGATGAGTTATCTGGAAATACCAAAAGAACAAAGAGTGGAAGAAGGGATTTAGGCCAATGTCACTAAGGGCTGACCACCCTCCTTTACACCCTCTTCCGACACAGCAGTCGCAATTCTAAAGAGAGAGAAAAAAGTTACGTGTACCATACGCATATCTAATCTACTCAAAAGTTCAAAGGGTCAATAAGTAACACGAAGGGGCTAAGTCATTCGTCATGCCTGAGGCATTCTAACCGCCTTAAGGGTAGTTCACACTGACGTGGGTAGACGAGGCGTGTAACGACAGGAGGAAGAGTCCGTCAGGCTGTCGGTGGTGAGTAAAGGCGTTAATTGCGAGAATACAGAGTCGAGAGGGTGCCGTCCCCTGGCTTGATAGGAGGTTGTTACTCAAACAAGAGTGACTTGTATCCATTCACTTGACAAAGCGACATCGAGTGCCTCTTCGAGACACCCTCTACCTTCGGACAGTATCGCCACTGCTGACGTTTCAACCCCTGGAGCCAGTAGACAAGAAAAGCGTACATGTACCGTGCAACCGGTGGAAACCTGCGCAAATATAAATTCCTATATACGTGTTTACGTTATATATATATATAAACAGTCCTATATTTTTTTTACTCGCTTAGCCTCACTTTGCTATTTTCGAAGTTTAGCATCATCCCCCGTTTGCGGGGCTAGCACGGAGGACCTTTCTACCCTCTTCTGGCTCGCTGCAAGCCTACGTCAATAATTGGACATAACAGAGGCAATTCGCGGAAAATCGATTATAGGAAATGGCTGTATATTACCATGGCCTGATAGTCCACTCGATAAATTGTCAGGTTGTCCCTGAATACAGCCGACGTAATGTGTTGGGGTTGGATTGTGTATTTTAGAAGCATAACAACTTTTAAATTTAAGGAATAGTTGATATTTAAAAGAAGTTACTCTACGGTTGGTATTGACGTGGGATATAATTAATTT